TGACAGCCCCACCTTTGACACAGACTCCATCTTTAACTCTTCCTCTGTTATACTCTCCACCCTTGCTAGTCTCAGATCAAGCATATTAAACAGTTTGTACAGCCTATCCTGCAGTGCGGTATGATCCTTGTGGGTTTAATGCTTAGTTTGGATTATAATGATAAAAATCAGGTGTGTTTCTCTTCCATGCTCAAAGGTATACGTACCTGTAATGAACTCATCCCCACACTACAGCAGTGCATAGAGATTGTTCAAAATTCCCCAAAAAGGTAGTATCTGCATCTGTTTTCCTAGATAGTTTTATCCAGGGACATTTACTAGAGTTGGCCAGCATTTACTAGAGTTGTTATGCAATACTTTTTGCTCTCTTACACATTGCAAGTGTGCCCACTTCTTCCTTCTTTGCTGTATGACCCTAGTTATTGTAATAATTTTTGTTATTGTTTTATACTCCCAAGGCAATTCAGTTCCACATATCCCTTAGTACTCCATATGTTAGTGGTTATTCCATATTTTTAACAAATTCAAAGATATTGGTGTTTGCTGGGTCCGTGGGACACCGTGATGTCCAAGGTAAAGACATGCAAACTCTGCTACTCTATTTTCAACTCAGGGTTTACCACTCTCATATAGAGGGAGTGGTCTCTCTTTCACATTATTTTATGGTAATCTCTTTTGAAATTGTTGGCAGCAGAGTTAGTCTAGGTTAAATCACAAATTGATCTCTATTAAATCACAATTATTTTCCTGGCTAATTTCTTTCCTGTTTTTCTAACCGTAACTCCACTAACCCCTACCAAGTCAACACACACCATCACAGTGCTGTATTACTTGTAAGGGTTTAGCACATTTTTTTATATTATAAAAATCAACAATTGCAGAAATACTGCTGCAATAGGTGCATCATGCTTGAAGGCACAGTAATATATAAAGTGTACATACTTACAGTAATTTGTGATGCAAAACATGGACAATAACCATTGTATTTGAGGGTTAATAAAGTTTTTTTCTGAAATTTTAAGGATTCATGATATTAACCCCTTTTACTGTCGGTATCATATTAGTACGACTTACAAGCCAGTGTTGGTGATGTATTAATTCCCCAAAATTCTAGCTGCTTCAGATCTAGTGGGAGAAAGTGAGAGAATGGGTCTGTGGGGTCAGTGTGTGCAGTATAAGAAAAGTCTAGCAGCACGCAGTGCATAATGAGAAGAAAAAACTCCAACTGTGTTTTTGGTTTAAAACGCCGAATTTGAGGTGTATTTTCATATGATATTTATGGTTGTATTCTCATTTTTCTGGTCTCATTTGATAGAATGGAAGATATATTACAGAAATAGAGATGATTTTGATTGGTTTCACGATGAAAAGTACCTTGAAATTGAGCTCAAAGTAGCAGAAATGTTCGAATTTTGCTGATGTTTAAGAGTAAACATATGACGTCACCGTCTAATACGTACTTGTCCAACTGGCCAGTTTAATACGCAGTCTTGAATGGGTTGACATTATTTATATAATTAGTACAATAATGCAGTAGCCTGCATAATAGTAAATTTATATTTTGTGTGAATAAAAATTCAAAATGGAAAGCAAGAGTAATATAACAGAGAAAATGTTATTTTAGTGCCAGAAATGTCTGCATTGTTTATTCTGGACCCTATTTTGAAATTTGTGTGAAATTGGCCAAATTGCCAATTTCTGACCACTTTATTGGGTAGTTGAAATTGGTAAATGGGTGGTTTCTTGTACTCAGTTGATAGAACAAAATAAGTTTTAGTGAAATAACTATGAGTTTGGTCAACTGGAACAATAGAATTGGTCGAAAATAGGGCTCAAAGTGGGCGTATCGCCGATGCATATACGTATACCACCGAGACTGCTAACTTCGCGAGAGCGTAATTCCATAAGTTTTCCACGAAATTTCATACTTTTGGTGTCATTACCATCGGGAAAAGATTCTTTATCATTTCACATGAAAAAAACATTTTTTTTTTTTTTGAAAATTATTAACCCCTTGACTGTTGCAACCCCCAATCCTGAGGTGTCTCCTGGTGCCGCAAAATGTCAAAAAAAAAAAAAAAATTATTTTTCTTATGAAATGATAGAGAATCTTTTCCCGATTGTAATGACACTAAAAAAATGAAATTTGATGGAAAACTGACGGAATTATGCTCTCGCGAAGTTAGCGACCCCGGCGATATTGACAAATCGGCGATTTCGCCCACTTTGAGCCCTATTTTTGGCTAATTCCTTTGTGCCAGTCGACCAAAGTCATAGCTATTTCTTTAGAACTCCATTTTTTCTATCGATTGAGTACAAGAAACTGCCCATTTACCGATTTCAACTACCCAATAATGTGGTCAGAAATTTGCAACTTGGCCAATTTCACGAAAATTAAAAAATATAACAATGTCAAAATAAGGTCCAGAATGAACAATGCAGACATTCCTGGCTCTAAAATAACATTTTCTTTGTTCATCAGTCATGTCTCCAGCCCCTCTGATATTACTCTTGCTTTCTATTTTGAATTTTTATTCAAACAAAATATAGAAGACTTACTATTATGCAGACTACTGCAATACTGTAATAATTGTATAAATAACATCAACCCATTCATGACTGCATATTAGAATGGCTAGTTGGACATTTATTGGACAATGACATCATTTGTGTACTTTTGAACATCGGTAAAAATCAAACATTTCCCCTACTTTGAGCTCCATTTCCAGGTTCTTTTTATAGGAAAATCAATCAAAGTCACCTCTATTTCTATAATATGTTTTCCATTCTATCAAATGAGACCAAGAAAACGAGAATACAACCATAAATACTATATGAAAATAGACCACAAAATCGGTATTTTAATTAAAAAAACGGTCGGAGTTTTTTTTTTTCTCATTATGCACTGCGTGCTCCAGGATTTTTTTTTTATATGGTGCACACTGACCACACAGACCCATTCTTTCACATGTGGGCCTACCAGCTTTCTCCTGCTTGATTTGAAGCCGCTAGAATTTATGAGTATATATACGTCAAACACGGTACCTCCCTCGTAAGACATATATATACGGCCGCGACAGTCAAAGGGTTAAACACTGAGAGCAAGTTTGTGAGCAGGGGTCTCGACAGTGAAAGGGTTGTGATAAATGGTTTAAAAAAAAACGACAGGTTGAAGATTGAGACACTTATGCAACATATAGGAATCTTTATTGAAGAAACGTTTCGCCACATCAGTGGCTTCATCAGTATTGGACTGATGAAGCCACTGTGTGGCGAAACATTTCCTATATGTTGCATAAGTGAAAGGGTTACCTGGAGTTTACTTGGAGAGGGTTTCGGGGGTCAGTGCCCCCGCAGCTCGGCCTGAGACCAAGCCTCATGGTGGATCAGGGTCTGATCAGCCAGGCTGTTACTGCCGGCTGCACGCAGACTGATGTACGAGCCACACAGCCCAATTGGTTGGTTAATTCATTGAATATTTTCTTCAAAATTTGAGTAGGTGCACTTAGTGAATTAACTAATCATAAGTTGAACATATTTTTGGTTAAGACATATGTTGAAATAGACTGGTGATAATAAGAACAGTGGGAGGCTGGGGGGGAGGGGAGACACTTTAGTCCTGGCAAGGAAAAGGAAAATCTATAGTGATGCTTAAATTGATAATCAAAGTATTTTAGTGTAATATGTCTTTTAGGTTAAACTCTTTAACCCTTTGAGGGTCGACAGGCCCTCTCCGAAACTCGTTCTCAGGGTCGGCCAAATTTAAAAAAAAAAAAAATTATTTTCTCTTATGAAAAGATAGAGAATCTTTTCCCGATCATAACGACACCAAAAGTTTGAAATTTGATAGAAAACTTACGGAATTATGCTCTCGCAAAGTTAGCGGTCTCGGCGATGTTTACGGATCGGCGATTTTGCCCACTTTGAGCCCCATTTTCGGCCAATTTCACTGTACTAGTCGACAAAAAACATGAATATTTCGCTAGAACTCCATTTTTTCTATCGAATGGGTGCAAGAAACCACCCATTTATAAATTCAACTATCCAGTACAGTGTCAGAATTTAGCAATTTTGCCAATTTCACACAAATTTCAAAAGATGCCAATTTCGGAATAGGGTCCAGAATAAACAAGAAAGACATTCCTGGCACTAAAATGACATTTCCTCTAGTCATTAGTCACGTCTCAAGGCCCCTCTTATATTCTTTTGCTTTCCACTTTGAATTTTATTCTCACAAAAAATATAAGATTTACTGTATGCAGACTACTGCATTAGTGTAAAAAATGGATAAATATTATTGGTGCACTTGTGAAAGAATATTAGACTCACCAGTTGACGTGTATTGCACGCTTGGCACGATTTGTTTACTTTTGAAGTTATGGTAAAATCGAACATTTCTGCTACTTTGAGCTCAATTTCAAGGCACCTTTCATTGTAAAACCAGTTCAAAATCATCTCAATTTCAGTAATATGTCTTCCATTCTATAAAATGAGACCAAGAAAACTAGAATACAACAATAAATACTATACGAAAATACACTGCAAAGTCGCTGATTTTTTAAAAAAAAATGGAAAAAGTTTTTTTTTTCTCATTATGCACCGTGTGCTGCAGGATTTTTTTTAGACTGTGCACACTGACCACATAGACCCATTCTTTCATATGAAGGCCTACCAGCTTTCTCCCACTAGATTTGAGGTCGCTAGAATTTATGAGTACTAGTACGTCAAAAACCCCTACGCGTAAGACGTACTAGTACGACGAAAACCCTCAAAGGGTTAAATAGCATTATTACAAATTTGACCAATCTAATTAAATTTTAATCAGGGGTTTGTATATAAGATACAGTATACAAAATCTCAATAGTTTTTATTTTTGTATTCTGAAGTTAATATTTTAATAAATGTAAATTATTACCTTGTAATGTATTGTTCAAAATAAAAAGAGCATTAAAAAAATATAATTTAAGATTCTCTAACAAGGACCTAATTCTTTTATACAGGCAGTGCACTTCCCAGCCATCTAATACAAACTAGTTGGTGTGGAGCTGAGGATGAGCTGGTGTAACGTCAAGGAGAAGGAGCAATTATGTTTATTTGAAAATGTAAAATGAGACTAGAGAGTGGTACATAAATATTTTTCATTTCAGTATTGTTTTATTTTGATTCCTTGTTTGAAGATCAAAGTTTTTTACACGTTTTCAAATGTAAAAAAAACAAAAAGAAGATCTACGTTTTTTACATAGTACTTTGAAATGTTGAAAAAACATAGATCTACGTTTGGACACCCCTCAGGGAAGGTTCCTTGATGTTGGTGAGGGGCTCTTGATTTGGGGAATTGGATCTGTGCTCCAGTTCCCCGAATTAAGCCTGAATGCCTTCTACATCCCCCCCAGGCGCTGTATAATTTTACGGGTTTAGCGCTTCCCCTCGATTATAATAATAATAATAATACGTTTGGACAGTTTAAGGGTTAATATAAGCACAGTACTGGTCCAGACTACTTCCTCAGTACTCCAGTCTTTCGTGACCACCTTGCCTGCAACAGATTCATGCTGGTGCTATGAATGTTGCGCTTCTCAGACAGGAATAGGCCCAACAGAAATGACCTATACAAAATCTGTAAGTGTTTAAGTATCTGAAGCAAAAATTCAGTGCCTACTTTTATCCATTCAAGAACATTGTTGTCGATGAGTCCCTGATTCTGTTCAAGGGACAACTGTCATTCAGACAATATATACAAAGCAAATATAATCGCCCTGGTATAAAAAATTTTATGTGACTGAGACTGGTATAGTGTTAGCTGTCATTGTCTACACTGGGAGAAATGCACTCAATGATGCCAGGCAGATGTTGGGTATTTCCAGTGTTGTTGTTCACAAGTCATACATTGTTCACAGATGACTGGTATACAAGCCCTATGATCGCTGATTTCCTCCATGTTAACAATACTGATATACAGTGGACTCCTGAGTTTTGTCGGCATCGACTTTCATGAAATCTGACTTTTGGCAAGTTTTTTCGGCAAAATTTAGCCTCGGGGTTCATGATTGGGCTCGTGATTCGGCGACCGTCTGGTACGTGTCCGCCCATCACCGCACACACAAAGCCAGTCTCCCACACCACTCACACTCAGTGTGCCATTGTTTACCAGCAGGTGACCATCACCCCGAGGGTTCATATAATACATTTCATAATAATCCATTGTTTGTGCTTGCAACTGCTAAATAAGTCACCATGGGCCCAAGGAAAGCTAGTGCAAGCCCTTTGGTAAAGAAAGCGAGGAACATGATCGAATTCAAGAAGGAAATCATTGAAAAATATGAGAGCGGAGTGCGTGTTACAGAACTTGCCAGGATGTATGGCAAACCCCATTCAACCATCACTTCGATCATGGCAAAGGGAAAGGAAATAAAGTGTGCTGTTGTTGCAAGAGGGGTAGATATGCTGACAAAAAAGAGATCTCAAATCCTCGAAGAAGTGAGACAGCAGTCAGTCAGGCTAGCATAGGTCCAAGATACAGGCGGACGGTAGCCCGCATCCCCTCACTAAAAAAAAACCCCACACCAGGGGATAAAAAAAAAGAGCGTGAAAAGGGGTTACCACAAATATAACATCCTAAACTAAATAAATAAAAATATACTCTAGATAATGAGTCCGCCAACACATTTTCTTTGCCGGCAATATATTTAATTCTGAGTGAGTATGGTTGCAGTCTTAGCGTCCAGCGCATGAGCTTTGTGTTGTGGTTCTTCATGGCTTGGAGATATACTAGAGGATTGTGATCACTGTAGACTGTGACCACCTGCGATGTCTGGCCCACATAAACATCGAAATGCTCCAAAGCCAGTACCAGCGCGAGGGCTTCTTTTTCAATGGTAGAGTAAGCCCTCTGATGTGGCTGGAACTTGGCTGAAAAGTATGCTACAGGCTGCAACTCCTCATTCTCGATTTGTAATAGTACTGCCCCAACCCCAGACTCGCAAGCATCAACCTGTAATGAAAAAGGTTTGGAGAAGTCTGGAGACAAGAGAATGGGTGCAGTACACAATATTCTTTTTGCTTTATTAAAAGCAGTGTTACAGTCTGAGGTCCAATTAAAGGGAACTTTGTGACTGGTAAGAGAGGTAAGAGGGGCTACAATATCTGAGAAATTCTTACAGAATCTTCTGTAAAATCCTATCATGCCTAGGAAACGTTGAAGAGATTTCCTATCATGAGGAACTGGATATTCTTTAATAGCAAAAACTTTAGCAAGTTTAGGTGCAACTTTACCACTACCTAGAAAAGTGATAGTGGCCTGGCCAAAGGAAGATTTAGATAAATTAACTGTTAAATGGGAACTCTTGAAGGTCTCAAAAAGAGCCTTAAGTCTAAGTAGGTGTTGATCCCAAGTATCAGACACCACAACAATATCATCTAGGTACGCTGCCGTGCCTTCAAGTCCTTTAATAGCCTGATGGATAAGTTTCTGGAATGAAGAGGGGGAATTTTTCATCCTGAAGGGGGTAACTGTGTATTGATAATGACCTGGAATTACGAAGGCAGAGATTTCCTTCGCCTTATTCGTCAAAGGTACCTGATAGTAACCTTTTAGGAGATCTAACTTGGACACAAAAATAGCCTTACCCACAAAGTCAATTACGTCATCCAGACGAGGAAGAGGGTAAGCATCTGTAATTGTGACCTCATTCACCTTACGGTAGTCTGTACACATACGAAACCCTCCATCAGCCTCCTTCACAAGGATGCACGGTGAAGCCCATGGACTAGATGACTCCTCCACTAAACCTTGCTTTAACAAAAATTCTACTTCCTGCTGAAGTAGCCTTTGCTTTTCAGGATTAGCTCTGTAGGGGGAGAGTTTAATTGGTTTAGAGTTTCCCACATCTACATCATGATAACCTAACGTACATTTTTTCGGCACATCTGAAAAAATATTAGGATATGACTGTAGAAGCTCAGTTAAATCTCATTTCCATAGATTTCTTCTTGTACCCTCTTTATTCAATATTCAAGTGGATGTGAAAATTTATATGAGAGATTCATCTTGTTTAGAAATTTAAACACCAACTTAGTTACATTGATTAGTTTGGGTAAAGAAGAATACCTATTTATATCAATGGCTGAAGGACAAACTATTGGAGCGGTGGTCACAGTAATTTCAACAGGAGCAATGTACGCCTTTTGTACAGGCCAATTAGTTTTATTTACCAACCAGCTCGGTCCTTTAAACCATGATACAGCATTTACAAATTTAGCATAAGATAAACCTCGAGACAGGAAATCAGCTGGATTCTCCTCACCAGGTATATGATTAAATGTTAACATATGCTGGCCCAAACCATTATACTTCTCTTGCATCTGATTAATTTCAGCGACTCTGTTTTGTACGTACACAATTTTACTGTTTCCATTACGAATCCATTGTAAGGATACCTCATTATCAGACCAAATTACAGTGACGCTAGTATTTATCTCTTGCAACTTATTTCTTATATAATTAGCTAATTTGACACCTACATAAATGGCTGTTAATTCCAACTGAGGCAAGGTACGTGATTTAATTGGAGACACTTTAGCTTTAGACATAACAAGAGAAATAACACTATTACATTGAAGGTAAGCAACTGCTCCATATGCCAATTTTGAAGCATCACAAAAAATGTGGAGTACATTTTTCCCATTTGGATTGGCCACCTGGTGTGGGAACTCCAACATTGGAATTTTCTCATAATCACCAATTAATTCATCCCACCTGTTAATAAATTCCTCAGGTAGAGTTTCATCCCAAGCACATTTAAGTTTCCATGCTTCCTGTATTAATAATTTCCCTCTTATAGTAAGGGATGACACTAAACCTAGTGGATCGAAACATTTGGAAACTTCAGCAAGCAAAACTCTCTTAGTTAATTTATTGGGCATACTGTAATTATTAGGTTTTAACATTTACAAATCTCTCTCAGTATCCCAAGTTAAACCCAATACATTACTACATTTTGACACTTCATCTCCAGGGTAATCTTTACTTATTTTGTCCTTTAATTTGGACGAATTACTATTCCATTCCCTCAGAGGCATATTTGCACATAACAGAAAGAGAATATCTTAATATCACTCACCAATTTGACTGGAGATTAAGGTGTATCATACTCAGAAAACCTCACTAACTAAATTTATGAAAATACTGGCCAGAATTATAACATAAATCTAAATAGCTTATCTGAGGTTCCTGGAGCTGTCTTGTTCAGTCGTCTGATATCTCAAGTTATGCAGGAATGCACATCCAACAATTTCGCCTCCTATTTGAGAGGTGTCAGCCCAATTTTAACCTCTAGAGCACGAAAAATTCTTCCCATTATACACTACCGTTAGTGTCCATTTCAAACAAAATGGTGAGTCCTTTCTGCGCAGGCGCAGAGCCTCCCTGTCGGCTCCATTCTCTTCTTTTAAAAATACACTTTTAATCAGGTTTATTTACACAGCATAATATTGGAAAATTATTTTCCACACTCGATTTAGAGGTGGAATGAGTTCATCAGGCAGATAACATTGTCTGTCCTTGACCAGGGACCACCAGGTTTTGGAGCCTAGCCTACCTGATGCTAGCTTTCTTTTAGTGTCCACCTCCCATTTAGCAATGGCCCACTTTTGAACGTCACCCATATGCCTACAGGCTTGCCTGTGCAAGTTCCTGTTATAGGTGGTAGGATGTCTCATACCTTCGCCATGCTTTGTACTTAGCAGTAGCAGCCTCTCTACAACGAAAGTCAAACCAAGGCTGATCTGTAGGCTTTGTCACATATTGCCGGTGAGGAATGTGTTCTTGTTGTAGATTAAGGATGTGTCCAGTGAAGGCTTTCAGTGAAGGCTTTCACAAGTATTACAAGTATCACCACTACAAGTACCACAACTATAAGTATCATCACTACATGTATCACCATTACAAGTACCAAAACTACAAGTATCACTAATGCAAATATTTTGGTTGCAGGGTAGAGTCATAGCTCCTGGTCCCATCTCTTGGCTGGTCACTACTAGGTTCACTCTGCCTGTATGTATGAATATATGTGTAGTTTCCACACATATACACAGCAGATTATGAGCAGCTCTCAGCTATTTTGTAACAGGTTTTATCAAGTTACAAAA